GAGAAAAAGAGCTTGTTTTCCCCTTTTTTGCTCTCTGTTGCTTCTGTTATCTTCAGCCGCCTCTTCCGTGCTACCCTGCTTTGGAGCCAGCTTATTATGGACTGCAACTTCTACAAACTGTGAGCTAAATAAACCTTTCCTTCTTTAACTGTGGGTGCTAAATATTTTGTATCAGCAGTAAGAGAAAAGTGACTAACACAAAGTCCTTATGCTAACTAGGAACTCAGTGAAAAGGTACTTTTTACTAGGAGCTCCTCCACTGTGGAAGAAGTCACCTATTCCATCTCTCAGGATAACCCTGGATTCTAGGCAAAGAGTAGTGGATAACTTCTTTGATTTTAGTGCTTCTCAATGCATCTCCCAGTCCCAAGATCTCTCCTGTCTTGCCCAATATACACACTCGTGCATGTGCACACAGAGAAAGAGAGAGAGAGAGAGAGAGAGAGAGAGAGAGAGAGAGAGAGAGAGAGAGTATTCTTTCTGTGTCTTCATTCCAAGACTTTCATTTTCTGACACAGAATTAAGTATTTCTGTCCAGGGAGGGCAATGTATTTCATGAAAGGGGCTGGGGGTTTAGCTCAGCGGTATAAGCGCCTGCCTTGCAAGCAGGCAGTCGTGAGTTCGATCCCCGGTACCGATAAAAAGGAAAAAGACAAAAAAAAGAAAGAAAGAAAGAAAAGAAAAGAAAAAAGAAAAAATGTATTTCATGAAGGAATCTTTCAATTATCTCATTGAAGCCAGGTGTTTTCTGAGAGGGCAAACTCCTCTTCTTGGAATGAACTGATCTCAGGATTTGAAGATTCTGGTGTGAACCGACTCGGTTTTTCTCTTCGTCACTTCAAAAATCTCTTAATGCCATTTCTTCTACCTTCCTTCCCAACAGTCACTTGGTCCCCCCTATGTCTAACCTTTGTGTTCTCTTCTACTCTAGATATTGGCATCTTTGAATTGCTTTGAATTTTTTCTTCTCTCAGAGCTGGGTATGGTGGTGCACACCTGTAATCTCTGCACTTGCAGGGCCAAGGCAGGAGAATCACCTGACGTTCAAGGCCAGTCTAGGCTTCCTAGTGAGTTTAAGGTCAGCCTGAAATACATAGTCAGACTGTCTCAAAAAAAAAAAAAAATTATGGGCTTGAGATTTAGCTCAGTGGCATGAGCGTCTGCAAGGTCGTGCGTTCAATCCCTGGTACAAAAATAAATAAACAAAAAATTATTCTCATTTCTTTATTTCACTTTTTTAAAAAATTTCCCCTTTGTTAATTTCCTCTCATTTTCATATTGCACTTCTCTGTCTCCATAGGATGCTTCCATTTCACTGACAAACTTGCAGAGAGTTCCTCTTACTTCCCTGCCTCACCGGCACCCTGTCAAGTCCACGTCTTCAACAGCATTCCACTCCTGGATTCTCAAACCCTTCATGCCACTTTGCTTCTATCTGGCTGCAACACCTACTCCCAGATCTTCTCAGACTGCTTTTTGAAAAATTCTGGGTAACTTTCCTCTAGCCAAATCAACCATATTTGTAGTGCTTTCTGCTAAGGAAATAGTGCTAATACAGATTTTAAAACATTTAGCATTTTCCATCTTATCAGGTAATATTTTACTTAATGTTTTGCCTGTTTTATCATGTACAAAATGCCATAATAATACCTAACCCTGTCTAGCCCACTAGATTGAAATCAAGGTATATAAATGGGCTTTAAATATTGTCATGCTTACTCTAATAGTCATCTCTGCCGACCAAACTTTCTTACAATTCTTCTTGCTCCTACTCTATAACTATCTTCCTTCCCCTGCACTGTCACACTGTCCCACAATTTCAACTGTTTCTTACATATGAAACTTGAACTCTAGCCTAACACCTCTCTGGAGTCCTGAGTTCAGTTTTGATCTACACTTCCTCAAAGAGATGAAAATTGGACCCACTTTCCTACTTCATATAATTAAGAAGGCTTTTTTTTCTGTTTCTCTTGAAAATATAATTATTCTCTTGCTTACTGACAAGAATGGACATCTAATCCATATGAGTTGCAATTTATCTGTCATGGACACTCTATGAAAAATCTCCTGAACATTCAAGGCATTCACCAATAAGTTCCATCAAGTCTCTGTAATAGCCATCATTCTCCAGAAAACAGAACCAATGGGAACAAGAATATGCTGTCTCAGTACATGAAGGCTTACCTTAAGGCTTAATCCAGTAGAAGGTTGGCAAAAAAAAAAAAAAAAAAAAATCGTAGCGCCACTACGAAAGTCACAAGGACAAGGCTAGGTCAGTTACAACATACAGTTTGTGTGCCCCCAAGAAGGCCATATTCTGTGAAGATTGGGGCTTGGGGAAAGAGGATGGTAAGCAAGGAAAAGTACACAGACAATATGATACAGAGCTTCTGACCTCAGTCAGTTGCCTCATCAGTGTTGTAAAGACACGGGAGTTGGATCACCAACCCAAACACTGACAGAGTCAAGGCTAAAATTGTGATGCCACTGAAATCTACTGTAGACTTCTGAAGATGAGAATGCTCTTACTGGGCCAGGGTCATCAAGGGAGGCCTCAGGGAAAGGTAGCATTTGAAATAGGCCTTAAAAAAGAATTGGACAAGAACATAAAAGGAGAATAAAATGGAATGAAGAGTTGCAAGGCTGGCAAGCTTGGAGTAAAAAGGAGGGCATTGGGTGATAAAGCTAAGTAGGTACCATGGCACCAGGTATGATTTAGTTGACTGCTTGTATGATGGAGTCAGAGTTTAACATGAAATATATTTATAATCTTGATGAGAGAATAAGGGAAGTTTTTTAAAAATAAAGAACATTAATTTGGTGACAGTTACAGGAGAAAAAATAGAGGCAAGGATACAAGTTAGGATTGCTAGAGCAACTCCAGAGTGGTCCGGACAAAGGGGTACAAGGACCAGAAAGAGGAAGGGGAAACTTCCAGACAGAGAAGAACCAAATATCTGCTTCATGTTAAGGTATATCCACAGTTCATTTCTGGGACAGTTCATCTATCCTGATGGACTAGGAACAACTTGCCAAAAGGAATAATTACTCAGTGTAGAAAATCAGAACAGATTCCTATTCTTCAAGTTATTTAATTTTTTTTGCAATGTTGGGAATCCAACTCAGGGCCTTGCACATAATCTTTACACTGAGATGATAGCCAGCTTCTTCAGTTCATCCGTATATATAGCACACAGGTTTTCATGTGGCTGAGTTAAAAATGGTGCATTTTTGACAATGTTGTTAGTCAGGATGTAGTGCTAGATTATGTGTAAAATCCCAGATCAATAGCTAATAATGACCAGCCTGTAAATATAGTTATCTCTCTCAGTATTCACACTAGTAAAGTTAGTGTCAGTACTATAGGAATCAATATTATTTCCATTCTACAATGGAGCAAATTAAAAGAGGTTAAGCTAGTTCCTTATGATCACTTAGTCGCTAAGAGAAAGAACAGAATTTGATTTCAGGTCTTCTGACTTCAAAGCCTGTGCTCTTTCCCCTACATCACTGAATTTTCAGTCAACACAGTGAAGCAGAGATTTGTTCTCTTTTAAGAATTAGAATTAAAGGATCTGAATTTTAGGTGTTTGTTCTTTTTAAAGGATCAGAATTTTAGGATATAGGCTGATGAGTCCTGACATTTCCTTAATGTAACAGGTTAAGTCTTTATTTAAGAGATAGAATAATTTGTGATTTTCTTCCATTGGTGGGCTAGACAGATAATAAAAATGATAGCAAAGGTTATTAAAATTTATATGGAGACAAGCACAGACTAGAATAACTACAAAGTGAATTCTTTAAGCTCCAGCGAAAAGGTGGTGAAATAGCACAATATGAAAGAAAACTCCTTTAGCTTCAGATGCCTAAATATGCCATCAAAAGACTGCTCAATTCTCAAATGCCAGTATTTTCTGACTCCTTCAGAACCTATTCTCAATGTAAAATATCAAAGTCAGCGGGATAGTAGGTGTCCCAAAATGTCTTAATTCAGAGAATTAGTGTTAACTGAGTCTGATTAGCTCCGTTTATCTCTAATTAATTACCTTTATCTAATTAGACACTTTGTTTCCAATAGACATGGAGTCAAGTAGACTAGATTATTAGTGTAGTCATTGTGCCTTTACAAAATCCTGAAATTAATGAAACGTGCAAAAGAATCTGCAGTTTTAATTGCACAGGTGTTGCCTTATGGCAAAGCTTTATCATCTGATTACGCCAAGGGGTTATTAGTGACTTTTTATATAGTGGATGAGCCTATGAAGTATACCTTAGCAACACCTCATTAGTTTAGGGTTGTTACTGTATTATTTATTACATTCAGCCTTCCCCATTATCTAGATTGATTCATGGGCCTATATATTTTTTCCTCTCCTCTGTGCAGAAAAAATAAAATAAACTATCATTATGAAGAGTCCAGATGCAATGTGGAAATATGCAAAATATGTTCATCAGCTATAATTTGACTCTTTATGACAAAAAGCTCTAAAGTTAGATGAGATTAGAAACAAATTTATGATTATCTTCTATGGGAAAAGAACCAATTTAGAATTACTGAGGAGTATGAAAGGATTTGTGTATGTGACCCCTCCACACACAAAATGTTCAACTAACTAAACTGGAATGTTAAGGTATGTGGAATAAAAAGCAAAATTTTTTAATGCTAAAATGTATTTCTACTTATCTTTCTATAGTGGACTAATAAGACATATCCCCTATATATGTTCACCCAAAATATTCATAAAAATCTATTTTAGTTTTTGCTTTTCTAAGGATAGATTTGTTGCCAGATGGAAAAAACTAACAAATTATACAATTGTAGCTTCACTGCAAAAGCAAGATTTCAATGCCTGTTTATAAAAATGAAAAGCCCTTTATTATGATAATGTTAGGTATGTGCAAAAGACTAAAATATCTCAACCTTTATAATTCTTCCCTCCTATTTGGAGATATATTGTTATTCACAATCATAGAGTAATTAAAAGCAAAGCTAGCCACAATCATATTCCAACAAACATGTTTATTGACAACACAGTAACTCTTAAAAAATTTGTCAACATAAATACATCAAATGGATTTTAAAATCATTTCCTTCCCTGACCCTCATCTACCCACAAAATTCCTCTACGGTTATGAGCCATATATGTTGGCTATTCACTTAATGCTGAATCTAAACTAGTGAAATAATGGGTAACTGTTACATAGAGCATGACAACTAATTTGAGTAGTGATAATGAATATTTAATGATCCTTTCAAGCATGAACATATAACTTTTCATGTATGCCTTACCAAAATTATGACCATTAATCTAAAAATTGTTACAGCTGAAATAATAGCTAAGAATTATATATTATAGCTAAATCAGAATATTGCATAAATACTCTGAGGAAACAGATACAGGAGCAGATAGGAAGTCCCAGTCTCTGATTTCCAATCTTCAATCTAAATCCTTTCTTTGAAATGTACATAGGTTGCATGATTAGCAAAGATTTGAATCTGAATATTAAAGCCTATCACTTTTATCAATAAATAAATATAAAAGCCAAGGTCACTTTCACCTCACTACCTCATAATTTTTAAACAAAAATAACATGTACATCAAAATGTGCCCCCATGTAGGGATATTTTTATAATGCTATATCTTAAATTTCATTTTTTTATATATGTGGAGTTTTTCCCAGTATGTTCCTCTACCAGAAACTACAAGGTAACTTTAGAAAAAGAAAAATCTAAATATACTTGATGTACTTTTAAATGCACTCTCTGGATAAAAAGTAATTTTGGTTAAACTTCCATGTTGAATTATCCCTGGTATTTCCATAAGATCTGAATAACTTCATATGCCTGTGATGTTGCAAGTCTGCCTCCCCTCCTGATTGGGTTTTCATTTTTCATTAGAACATCTGAAAACTAGTGCCTCTGCAGTTGCAAATATGCAATCCTATATCGTCTTACTGTTATTACTTGTTTTTAAAAATGTGTTTATAAAATCCAACCTTAGTAATGGAATAACAAAAGAGTAGCAAAAGAAATCTAAAGATTCTCTTCACTGTAACCCTCTTTAGCAGAAACCCAGTGTCCAGCTGAATGGTGCACCAGGCTGGGTACCAAGCTCATCAATACGGTTCTGCCTCTTTATGACTCCAGAATAGAGGTCAAATGTAGAGCATGTTGGGGTACTTTCTCCAACATACATATCAAACACATTTCTAACGCAGCAGATATCTCTGCCTAAAACAAGAGCAAGATCAAGTGAGAAAAGGAATTATATGTCCTTTGTAACATGTAAAATGCTTAAGAAATATTTACTCAAGAGTACTAAACTCTTGATGAATTTCGTTTATTCACTTCACCAAGTGGCATTTAATCAATGTACTCTTTCTGTTTCCTGGGTTATTCCCAAACTTCTATTCAGGGTTCTTCTGATGGTGGATATTTATTAAGCAATGAACACCAATTAATTCTCACTGAGGTTTATTTTGCTGTTACACATGCAAATACTATAGAGTATGTTAATGAACACATTAACAAATATAGAAAAGTTAATGGTCTTCCTTGATGCTGTGTTTTGCATTCCTTGTCACCTGCTCATACCACCTTACCAAACTTCTGCAGAGGAGTTGCAGATAAAATTTCTTAGTAGCCAGTGGCTCTGCACAAATGTGGAACACAGATAGCAAGAAGTAATAAAACACAGTAGAGGCATATACTAGGGGAACAACCGGGGCATAGGAAGTGTTTTTTGTTTTTTAAGGGATGGAAAAGAACCTACTCTGGAGAGTAGGAGAGAAAAAAGCTGTAGTTGGAGGCTTTTTAACATGGAATGTTAATACTGTGCTACAGCTACCTTTATGTATTAAGTTAGAAGAAAAATATGAAGGGTAGGCACCCAGACCGAAGACATGGAACCTAATACGCTCACATTCTTGTTGTTTGTTGTTTGAAAAGTTGTCTGGAGAGCCACGCAGTCTCTTCTTCCTTGTGGCCTGACGTGTCTGCTGCCTTGCTGTCCTCAGCAGCGCCATGGGGTGGTGACTAATTGCCCCCGTAAATCACTGAGCACCACTGTGCTACTCCGTTTATTTTTCTGACAGTAATTTAGTACTTGCTCTTTCCCACACTTGTCATTCCGTGTTTTTCCTCACATTAGAAGCCTGTAGAAAAAGGACAGTAATTAACGGTGCAATACATACTCATGGAAACTCTTTCATCATATTGTGATAATTGTGCTCCTTGTCTGTCAAGGTAACCTCTCAGTTTCCAAGCTTCTTGCAGCATTATTTGTCAACTCTAAACTGAAGACACCGTTTTGACTGGAACTGAGCTGCTTCTAACCAGCTTTTCAACTTGTCCAGAGGAGGTCATTTATATTTTAGGCAATGTGTCAAATATTTAGTCTGATCTGCACAGTGAGATGAAAGTCATAATAAAGATACACCTGGATTCTTCATTATGCAAGGTCTAAGGACACACTAGTTGGAACACTGGGAAGTGAAGAT